GGGTGTTTCTCTGTTCTGTGTCTTCTTTAGCAGCCGAAGTTGGCGAGTGAGGCTTTAGTCACTCTCTGTCACGCAGGGGGTGACCAGGCTCTCACTTTTTCTCTGCACCRTCCCAGGGATGAGATTATAAAGGGTAGGCCTGTGTGAGTGTGTAGGTGTGTGTGTCATGGATTCCCCTGCCCCCTGGCCAGCCCCGGTTCCTCTTCCCTGCTGTTTATTATGTCTTCCGAGTGTGYGCAGAAGGTCCTGGCCCATTCCCATAGTGACTGGGCAGACCTTCTCATCTTGTCGTCCTTCCCTGAACTTTCCTAGGCAGAGACAGAGTGTTTGAGAACAGTGGGTGCCTACTTTGGGAGACTCTGCCCTCTTTGAATAGATGGTGGTGAAGAGACCCTGTCTTGCCTTCTGGAAGGTGACTTTTAGGAAAACTGAGAGTTGTGAATTTTAAGATTCCTTTGGGAGGTAACGGAGAAGGGCAGAGGGTAACCGTGGCCCCAGGATGGGCTGGCTTCTGGCTTCTCAGATCCGGAATGATCCTCTACCCCTTGTTACTTGCTTATTAGCATTTGGATGGAGAAGCACTGCAGGAATAATTTGATGATTGATTGGTTGGTTGATGGAAGGACTTTCAGGGTCTGCAGAAGTACTTATGTAATAAATTGATCAAGAATTGAGCAGGTCTAGATGTTTCAGTTGTCTATTACTATGTCATCAACCACCTCCAAATTTATTGACTTACCATAGGATAATTTATTCTTGCTAATCTGCCTCTGGGTTGGCCCAGTGGTTCTTTAACTGGTTTTACTTAAATGCCCTCGTGGTCTCATCCAGGTGGAGGGTCAGCAGAGCAAAACATCCCTGATGGCCTCTCCCATGTCAGGCAGTTGGTGCTGGCTACGGTTAAACTGCTTCTCTTCTCTGTGCCCTCTCTTCTCCAGGAGGCTAGACCAGTTTCCTTACATGGTGGCCTCAGGGCCKCTTCCAAGGAAGTGACAGGGGAAGCTGCAAATCCTCAAAGGTCTCCCTGGTCCTCCAGCATCATCACTGTGACATTCCTGGCCAAAGCCAGTCATGGTCCGTAYAAATGGGTCTATAAAAAGGCACCGTTTTGGTTGTTTTCATCACTGTGACCAAAAGACCCAGGGAGGAAAGGTTTATTTGGTACTTGCACTTTCAGAGTTCTCAGTTCACAAACAGCAAACTCTATAGCTCTGGACCTTATGTGAGGCAGCAATTCATGGAGGAAGGCAATAGGGAAGCAGAGCTGTGCTCACCAGGGACAAAATATAAACCCCCAAGGCACGTCCCCAGTGACCTACCTCCTCTGGCCACTCCCCACCTGCCTGCAGGTACCACCCAGTTAATCCCTCTCAGTGGATTAATGCACTGAGTAGGTTAAAGCTCTCATAACCCAATCATTTCACCAGATTTTTCTTGCATTGTTGCACACATGAGATTTTGGGGACACCTCTGTCTGAATCATAATAGGCATGAAGAGGGGGAGGCACAGTCACTGAAGACTGTTTTGTAACAATCTACTACATATACTGAGTAAAAGAAAAATGTAGGTTAGATTAAACATCAGATTAGCCTATGGCTGTGAAYGATGTCATTGCAAGAGGTGAAGGATGTAGCCAAACTGGAGTCCCCATTCTGCCACCTCCTAGTTGTGTGGTCTTGATCAAATTCCTGCATCCTTCCCTCAGGGGAGGAGCGGGACGTGGATTAATAGAAGCAGAGCGCCCAGTATCAAGTCTGGCTCATGGTAAATGTTAGCTGCTGGTGTTCATTTTATAGTTCTGTACTGGCCGGCAAGTTACCAATTGGGTTTTTGAGTTTTCTACTTTGGAGGCATAGAGGAAAAATACTCAGGTACAAGATTTTGTAGTGTGCTTAAGTTGAGAAAATATGGTCAATTCAGAAGAATGCAGCAGAATTGAGGTAATCTGCAAAGTACTGACCTGGGAAAGCTCACTGTGAAAATGAATGTATTTTCTTCCCATGGCAAGTGGTTAGAGGCAATACCGCCTTGAGGTTAGCAAGGTGGGCTTCACTGTCCTCCTTGACTGGATTCCCAGCACGCTGCTTTTTCTCTCCTGCAGAGTGAATTTGGGAAAATGCATGATCTCTAAAATTCATCTTCCTCGTTTCCSAAGTGGGCATCATAATGGTCCCCACCTCAGGCAGGCCGAGAGATTAGGAAGTAAAATCTTTAGCCTATTGCCTGGCACATTTTACTCAATGAATATTAGCTTTTAATGTTATTAGTTGTAAAGGTGATTTTAAAGGGGAGTTTTTCTTTATGGGAGACACATGGCGTACTCTTCACAAATGGTTCGGTGCTATTATGATGAACCACCCTTGTCTTCTTCTAAGAGGGCACCTGGACATACAGGGACTGTAATAAATAAATAAATGAATGATGAATAACAGGGTAATAAAGTAATAAGCCCTGTGTTTAGTCTTCGCCTTCATTCCATGCTACTCTCCATTTTTCTAGATTACTGAGTTTTATCATTTATGATTTTATTTTCTGTAGAACTTTCCAGAAGCTGACTATACACATTTCTGAACAGCCTTCAAAGACCTCCAGAAATCCACACAGGGCCCACACCACTGATGGCACCTCTTCCTACCTGGCCCCTGCCCACATTGCCACAGGCTCCGGGACCCCCAGTGGTGTTTAGTCAGGTTCATTACTCATGCTGTCCCCGCAGTTGTGGGGGAGGGAGTTCCCTCCTCCCCTCCCCGTGTCTCCCTGTGTCTGATTTATGGCTCAGATGGTTGGCCTGGAGGGCCTTAATTTAAAGCCTCTGTCAGAGGCTGTTGTAGGAACGTGGTGCCAGCAAAAAGCTGTTTTCCTCTGCCTGTGCTTCACTGTCGCCTCTTTCATGGCATGAAATATGAGGCAGGAAAGTAAGGCTACCACACTGGGGCRGAGGGAGCTATTGCAATCCTCCTGTGAAGTTGCCCTGATGCCTTCCCAGCCAGAGGCTGAAGTCAGAGTGCCTGGTCCTTGTGCCAGGTTTCCCCAGGCCCCCTTTCCCCATTCTGCTTTGGTCTCTTTCCTAAGCTGCCTCCAGATGCTGCTCTGGTGGTGGTTATGACTGGGGCAGGATCCCTAGTCTGATRTTCATCAGTTGCTTTAACCTATACCTTGTCCTGCCAAGGAGAGTCTCTTTAGCTTTGCTGAGTTTGCATTATGGAAACAATRGTTATTTTTTCACTTTCCAAGTTAAAAATTACATTTCTATAGTGAATAGACTGTCTCTCTATAAAATATAATCTCCATCCCTGACTCTTCCATCAGATATTTTTAGGCCCCAAGGAAGTAGTCCCCTTACCTGCAGAGAGAATTACTAGACTATTGTTATTCATCAGCATATTCCCTGCCAGTGAGACCGAGGACAGTTTCCCATCACCTAACTTCCTTGTCTGGCGATGGTGGGTGGGGTACCAGGGATGGAACTCAGGGGCACTCAACCACTGAGCCACATCCCCAGCCCTATTTTGTATTTTATTTAGAGACAGGGTCTCATGGAGTTTGCTGAGGCCGGCTTTAACTTGTGATCCTCCTGCCTCAGCCTCCTGAGTAGTGGGATTACAGGTATGTGCCACTGCGCCCGGTCCATCATCTAACTTCTTAGTGTTGAGTTTTGGGTCTCTTGTACACCTGTGATGTATTTGTGCTTCACATGTATGTGTGTCATCAATGGAACCATTATTTTGAGGGCTTTGGCTTCTTTGGGGTATCATCTCTGTTATTTTGATCATTTTCTCTGTGTTTAGTGAGTGACATGGCTCTCTAGGTTCCTGATGYCAAGTTCCCACTCTAAGAATGGCATTTTGTAAGCATACAAAAATTACAAGGGATGCCCAAGACTATGTTCCTATCAACTTCTTCAAGAGGAAAGATAGAATAATGAAAAAAAARTAATCATAAAATCAGGAAATAAATAGGTAAATAAAAAAAAATTAGGTTTTAGTACAGGTTAATAATGCAATCCTCGTTTGTTTAAAAAAAATGTAGATGTGTGTGTTGTGCGTCCGAATTTGCTTATATTTGTGTACTAAAACAGAAGATCTAAGGAAGGTGGAGGGGTTAACTTTGGTGAGGTTATGGGGTTGTTTAATTTTTTTTCTTTTTAAAGTTTTCTTTATAATAAGGAAAGAAACCCAACACTATTTATTTTWAAAAATTAAAACAAAAACAAAAGCAAACACAAAAAACAGCAAGGGAAGCCAGGCTTGTGGACAGGGTAGAATTTTCAGGTAAGGGCCGTGCAGGTGGGAGGCTCTATTCCTGGTGCAGGGAACTTACACTGTCTCTGCCTGGGCCAACCCAGTTTGGATGTTCAGACATGTTGACTTGTTCCTGATACCGATGAGCACAGACACCTTCCTGCCAGGCCTGTTTTCTCTCCCACTGGACAGAAGCCGTATTGAGTAATCAATGCAAGCCTACTTTGTCCAGCCTGTTGGAGGATGGGAAGGAGCTGAACTTGGCTCTTGTGTCTGTTCTTCTTGGGTGGTGAGCATCACTTTGCATGAGGCTGGTGGCTCGTGCTCTGTCCTGCTGTGTCTGGGCTTGGCGTCTACCTACACAYGACATCCCTGCGTCGGCTCACAGGGCAGCCTGGCTCCTGCGCCTGCCTCTCCTGCGGCCAGTAGACAGTACATCAGCAGGAATCACTCTGAAAACAGTGAGGAAATTCCAGCCCCAGGGCAAACTGCTGCTCTGAGAAGGAGTCCGTGGCTGGCTCCTAGCTGCAGCAGACGCTGTTTGGTGGGAATGGTGATGAACCCTGGCAGTGGAGATGACCACAGGGCTGTTCTGGGCTTCCCAGCCCCTCACCACAGGCTGGCATGGGAGGCACAGCTGTCTGTGATGCTTCAGTATCTGGACCATCAGTTCCTTGGGGCCAGGCCTGGTCATTGCTCTTGACTTTGGATGCCAGGCATAGAAGTTATAGTCACAGAGGCTGCTTCTTCTCTTACAGAGAAAGTCCACTCATGTGACCAGGAGAGACAGAGCGCCCTGGAAGAGGCCCGGCAGAATCCCCGTGAGGGCATTGTCATCCCTGAATGTGCCCCTGGGGGGCTCTATAAGCCAGTGCAGTGCCACCAGTCCACTGGYTACTGCTGGTGTGTGCTGGTGGACACGGGGCGCCCGCTGCCTGGGACCTCCACACGGTAAGCCTGCCCACAGCCTGTGTCGTACCTGAACTGGGTCCTGGGATAAGAGGACCAGCTTCWGGTTCTGTTAGCGTTTCTCAGCTTGACTGCCCTAGTTAGGTGGGAGTCAGGTCACTAGGAGACCCGCTTTTCTATTCGTGAGCAGATGAGATCCCCTTAGAAAGATCCTGGACCTAGATTCTGGTCACAGAGCTGGTTCTTTCTATCTGTGGAACTTGGAAGAGTATTAACCTACATGGTCTCAGTTGCCTGATGAGATCAGTATGTTGTCAGAGTTAACAGGTTCTATGGATCAAAAAAGATCCTGTGTGCAGATCTAGGGTGGCCCTGTTATTATGCTTGAATGGCTAAAAAGAAACTTATCTGAAATGTGTCAGTGGGAACATTTATGCTGGATGGCCTTGTAGGGGCTTCACAGTACAGGAGACATTTTGCTGCTAACCCTGAGGGCTCTAGGCTTGGTGACAACACAAATCTTTGCTGGGCAATAGTGGCTGAAGTATTCTCTGTTGCCAACCTCTCCAAACCTCCCACCTTTCTCCCTTCCCAGCTATGTGATGCCCAACTGTGAGAGTGACGCCAGAGCCAAGAGTGCAAAGATGGAGGACCCCTTCAAGGACAGGGAGTTGCCAGGTAGGAAGTGCTGCCCTGCTGGCACCTTCGCCTCTTTCCTTTCTTTTCTTTTCCCTCCCCTCCCCTCCCCTCCCCTCCTCCTCCTCTCTCCCTCCCCTCCCCTCCCCTTCCCTCCTTCCCTCCCTCCCTCCCTCCCTTCCTTCCTTCCTTCCTTCCTTCCTTCCTTCCTTCCTTCCTTCCTTCCTTCCTTCCTTCTAGGGGTGCATAACTGCTGAGCCACATCCCCAGTCCTTTCTGTTTTTTATTTTGAGACAGGGTCTCGCTAAGTTACCTAGCACCTCACTAAGTTGCTGAGGCTGGCAGTGAACTTGCAATTTTCCTTCTTCAGCCGCCCAATCACTGGGATTATAGGTGTGCACCCCTGTGCCTGGCTCTCTTTTCTGTTCTTCCACCCCTCAGCATGCACACGCAGCTCCTCCTCTGTGTTTCCCCTTCTGTTCTGCAGCACAGGAGATGTTCATCTGGTACATCGCTGGGGCACAGAGCCAGGAGCCAGGAGCTGTGGAATCTCACCCCAGTCTGGGATCGGTCTCTAATTAGTCCTGTGTCTTGAATACATTGCTTTTTCTCCTTGCTCTTGCTCCTGTGTCTTTAAAATGTGGCCCTTGAGTTAAAATCCTATCCCTGGGATTCCACAGTCCATTCTCTAACCTAGTGTGACTAGGGGCAATGTTTTACAGGCTGTGAACTATTTTTTCCCAGGGCCTTGAAGAGAAGATGGCTTACAGGGAGGGGCTCTCTAGAGCAGTCTGGACAGCACCTGTCASCTACCTTGCAATGTGCTTTCATGATGATCCCTGGGGACACAGGATGGCTATGGTGGGGAGGTTGTGGTGGGTGAAAGACAGACAGTGGCTCAGGACCCTGAAGGGGCTGCTGTCCTGGGTTTCTGCTTATTYATAGTGACTTCTGATTGTGAGTTACATTACGATTGCAAAGATCTGGGCTTTGGAATCCCATAGTTTTTACTTAGCACAAAGGCATGTCGGTGCTGGTGGAACTGGGGCCACCTTCCCCTGACCCATTGGGACTCCAGAGTAAGAACTGAAAGCAGAAAAGTCCTGAAAGTCGGGAGCTTCCCACATGAAGTTTATAGAAATCACTTTGTCACCAAAGTGGAGTCATGGAGGCCGAGATGCCTCCTGGCCATTCCCTCAACATAAGAGAATTGGGATTCTRCTTTGTGCCAGGCACCAGATATAATCTAGTGTTCAAAATTGACAGGAGGCTTAGAGAATGGAGGAGACAGATCGCGTACAGCTGAAGGACGGCATGCATCGGTAGTAATCATGCAGGAAAAGAACAAGATGCTATGAGAATGTCAGGGGGAGCTCAGATGCTCTGAGAAGTAGCAGTTAACCCAAGACCTGGTGGGTTTGGAGAGAGAGGAAKTAGTTGCTGCAGAGAGAGGGGCTGTGGCTATGTGGAGGGCCCATTGGGTGCTGGCGAACACTTATAGGGACTCCCACCTCTGCAGTTGTATGATGGTGTTTCTCCCAGTAGTCCCCTGCTAGTGGGTGTTGATGTGGCCCAGCCATACYTGGGAGCACACCCCACCTGCCCTGGGGTTTGGCAGGAATACGAGGGGAGTATTTACAAGGTGAGTCTATGATAGAATCTCAGCTGGTTGAGGAGGAAAGTGAGAAAAAGGAGGAGGTTCTTGGATAGATAAAACAATTGGGGACTTAMGTCAACTGGGACCCATAGGGCTTCTCTCTCCTCCTGCTCCCACAGCATCTGGTCCTTACCCCCTGGAGCAGCGTTTTTACTATTTTAGGAATGACTGCCTGGCCCTTGGCTTGACTATATCAGCTCAGTATTTTGTGAGTTCCATGAGCATGAGGATCCTTTGCTTTGTCTCCCTAGAATTTAACRCAGTGCCTGGGTTAGTGATGGCGTGATCATTGAAAGCATTATTGTCCCTGTGGATTGTGAGTAAATGATGGAGGTTTATGAGAATCAGCTGAGCAGTAAACACATCCCCAAAGTGGATTTGGCTGGACAATAAGGACTTCACAAAGTTTGGGAAAGGATGGTAGTGGGGGAAGCTGTTTTACTTGATTASTTACCTGGCATCTGCCTTCACATCTCACTTTATCTTTTAGGTTGTCCAGAAGAGAAGAAAATGGAATTCATCACCAGCCTCCTGGATGCCCTCACCACCGACATGGTTCAGGCCATTAACTCAGCAGCACCCACTGGAGGTGGGAGGTGAGAATGTGAGCAGGACTCAGGCCCAATAGGGAGTGTGGGGCCTAGGACTCTCCAGATGCCGTGGGAGGCTGGAAGGGCGGGAAGATGGGCAGAGAAGGGATTGGAAACCTATCTTCTTCCTGAAACCATATGTCCCTGACTTTTCCCACTTTCTGCCCCAAATCTCCCTGCCCTTCAATCATCCCTATTTTGAGCTGTGCGTCTCTGGCTTTTAGTTATCGAGTTTACAGGGTTGTCTGGAAACTTCTAGCTATTTAATCTCGAAGGGGAAGCCAAAGAGTGAGAGTCTTAAATGACAGGAAGAGTACTGGACTCCTGAGGAGAACAGGGAGCTCCAGGCGGGCAGAGAAGGAGCACAAAGTACTTTGTGACCTTGTTTTTCTCTGAGAAGGCAGGATCCATTGCATTCCAGGGAACTCTGGGCAGTGGAAGTGGCTACTCATCCCACTTGGTCCAGGAGGTAATATGGTGCTGTGGCAGTGCTGACGGGAGGCCTAGTTAACCAGCAGCCCTGGGGCACCCAGTGCGCCCACAGAGTCAGTAGACCAGAACACACATCCATGCTTCCCCTGARGGCCTTTTTGAGCACACATGACATGGTAAACCCTGGGCTAGGGACTAAGTCTCCAGGAACATGGAGGCAGGTCCCTGCCCTCAAAGAATGCAGCCAGGTAGGGATGCTCGACCATAGACAGAGGCTGACAAACCATGGGGTAAGTGCTACATGGAGAAGGGTTGTCTAACTCAGCTTGAAGGAGTCAGAGCAGGCTTCCTGGAGGAGGCGATCGCTGAGCTGTTTTGAAGRACAGGTAGGACGTAGCCAGTCAAAGGAGGGAGAAAGCCATTCTAGGAAACAGGAAAAGAATATTGTGACTCCAGTAAAGTATATGTCTACAGTTCATGATGGCTGGCCCCAGGTGGTGGTGGTGGTGGAGGAGGAGGAGGAGGAGGAGTTGGAAAAGGAGGAGGAAAGAATGACCAGGGTAAGATGGAAGATGAAGAAAGAAACCAGATTCCAAAGGACCTGTGAGACATGCAAAGTAAAACTTCCAGTTATGCAGCCAGAGCAGGAGGCACAGTAGGGGCCAGAGGGTAGCAAAGGAAGGGAGAACCGAGATGTTGAGCCTCCTTACAACAGCAGAAGAGGTACCAYGGGCTTGGCAGCCTGCTTCTGAGCTTACATGGTCCATCAAGGATGGGAGCTGGTTCCCAGCTTCTTCTCAGAAGTGGAGCTGCTRGGATGGTAAGGAGTGACACTAGAGGACGGGCCTAGGCCCTTGGGCCCTGTGGAATGGGCATGTATGGAAGTGATGATGAGCAGGGATATTTAGGATGTATTTAGAATATGGATCGAGGACTACATGCATAGCCATCAGTGGTTCCGCCTCCTGAAGGAGTCGATGGCAGCCATGAATACCCAATTTTATGACGCATCAAAATGATGGCCACAAACAAGCTAATGCCGCCCAGAGGCAAACAGATAAACAAAATGTGGTATGTGCATAGATTGGACTATTAATTAGTCTTTAAAAAAAAAAATCCTGTTACATTGAGGAAATTATGCGAAGGGGAATAAGCAAGTCACAGAAGCAGCCCATTCACAGGAGCCATCTGAAATAGTCCTACCGAGTCAGAAGAGTAGAATGGTATTTGCCAAGGGCCATGGGGAGAGAGAAATGGGGAGATTTTAATCAAAGGGTATCAAGTTTCAGCCAAGCAAGATGAATTAATTCTAGGAATACGCTTTATAGCATCGTCCTTCTAGTTAACAGAACTGAGTTATGCACTTAAATTTTGGTTAAGAGGACAGATCTTGTGGTAAGTGTTCTATGATAAAATAAAATTTAAAAATAAAGAGGAAAGTGGAGGCGGGAACAAGCAAATGCACAGGTTGTCACTCTTGGGAAGTGCTTGTGGGGCACCCTGTGCTCCTGTGAGCTCTGAGCTGGTCTCTGGCTGTGGCTTTGTCTCCACTCACCCTGGGGATGTGGGCCAGGCCTCCCCTAGGAGGAGAACAGCAGAATCTGAGAACATGGAGACAGCATCTGACAGGCCCACAGATGGGCGCTTCCCCGAGGCCGCCCATGCTCAATAATTCAGTATCTAAGGCTCAGAGGACGCACCCTGATTGCCAAGAAGGCGGGAGGGGTGTGGGTTTTGAAAAGGCGGTATTGTCTGCCTTTAGGTTTTCTGTTTAAAGTACGGAAATACACTTGTTGTTTCATGCAAAAACAAGCGAGAGATATAGTAGCCTGTCTTATCTGTGGTTTCACTTTCTAGGTTTTCAATTACCAGCTCCAACGTGAATATTAAATGGGAAGTTCCAGCGATAGACTATTCATAAGTTTTAAATAACTTTTCTCACAGTATACTGTTATGCATGTTCTATTTTATTTTTAGTTTGCTAATCTCTCACTGTGCCTAATATATAAATTAGACTTTATTGTTGATGTGTATGTTAAAAAAAAAAAAAAAACAAACACCTAGTCTAGGGCTCCTTACTATCTGTGGTTTCAGGGGTCCCCTACGGTGCTTGGGATGTATCCCCTGCACATAAGGGGGCTATTATATTTATGTTCATTAGAAGAGAGAAGAAAAAAAAAAGAAAGAAAAAAAAGGGCAGTCATGAGCTTAAACTCTCCCAGGTCTGGGTGGTCCCGCCCATTAGTTCTCTGCTGGCTGCTGGCTCTGCCCAGCAGCCTGGGGTACTGTCCAGCAGGTCTGCTTTAAGACAAGACTTCAAGCTCTGCCCCATTGGCCTCCCCAGAAGCCACAGCCCTACTGATGGTCTTGGTCACAGGAAAGGGAATACAGGGCAAATGGGAATTGGTGTCTTACCCTCGAATCACAGGTAGAAGAGATTTTTAAAGACAATAAAAACTGAAACATATAATGTTTTAATACCAGTGGATCCTTAGAGACAGGATTCTTCTTTTCTTTCTTTCTTTCTTTTTTTTATTATCTCCACTTTCAAGTGTAATTTAGAGTTGGGAAAAGTTAAAAAAAAAATAAAAAACTTTCCAAAACACATTTTTCATTGGAAGCTCATGTCAGCTTAACTATGCTTGGTTTCGATAGGCACGAAAAAGGTTTGAATTGCTTTTGCTAGTTGTGTGACCTTGAGGCTGGACTTGTAATCAACAGACAAACAAGATGGACCAAGAAGTAGTTTAGAAATCAAGAAAGGCAGGGAGAAGCAGTTGTACAGGGAGGTAGGTGGCCAGGGGTGACAGGTTTCTGGGTTTAAAGCCCTCCCAGAACTTCCCATTACATATACCATAAGCCCTAACTCTGACCTGAACTGGCCCTGCAGGATGGTCTGCCTGCCTCTGGCCCTCCTCCAGGACTACTTCCCTCCTACCACTAGGTTTTAGCCTCCTCACTTCTTTTGGCAGGTCAAGCAGACCTTCAGTCTAGAGTGGGATTGTCCTTCTTCCCATGACTGGCCCCTGTGTGTCCATTTAAACATCACCTTCTGAAGACTGCCCCGTCCAAAGGAGCTGTCCAGTCATCCTCTGTCCCTACACCACTTTGGCACTCTCAGCCTGGTGCTTATCATTATCTGATTTTTTTTTTTTTTTTTTTTTTTTTTTTGCTGGCTTTCACGCCACCCAATGAAAACTGCAGTTCTAGAGAGGAGTGTTTGCTGTCCTCCCCCCCCGCCCCACTCTATTCCTAGCACTTAGAATAGTGCCTAGTGCTCGTAGGTGCTCAGTAATATGTGTCAATGAATGAACAGCTAGAAAGACAGACGGAGGGATGGATCTTGAGGGTCCACCAACTACTGCAGGATGAAATGTAAGACTGGATGCAGCTATCCAGTTCTCTGTGGGCCTTCTTTGTAACCAGGGCTCTATAGCACCTGCCTGGGTCTGAGGGACTTGGGCATTATATAGACAGACCCTGGTCAGTCACTCCTCTTCTCTGCTAGAGGAGAGAAGCATGGGATAGGTAGAGATTGAGATGCACAACTGGAACAGGGCTGATTAAGAGATTAGGAAATATTTGCTTTCTGGGTTTTGGCCTTGGGTTTGGAATTTAGGCAGAGCTGGGGTTGCAATCATGGGGTTAAAGAAACCACATCTGGTCCCTCCTGCATCCTCTCAGGGTCTGGCAGTTAAAACTGGACACCAGCTGAGGCCAGCAGGAAAGAGTCCCAGATGAAGACAGTGGAAGAAGTGACAGGAAGATACTGGGGCAGTGTAGAAAAAAGGACATCTTGTCCCCCAGCTACCACCTGTCATGGTGATTTTGGCTAAACATAGGAAGTGGCATTTGAGCCACATTCTCATTTGTAAGTGGGAAACGTTCTTGCCTGGATGGACCAGGGGTAAGGACAACGCAGAAGAGGGGACCATATGTGTAGCAAGAGATGAATGACAGGGGATACATGGAATTGTAAGAAGCAGCATGGTTATTTGGGAGGCAGCGTGTGGAACGGGCAGGAGATGAGGCTGCAGAAGTTGGGCAGAGCCCTAGTTGTACTGGGCTATGTGAGTCATGCCAGGGACCATGGAAATAGATGGGCATTTTTGAATAATCATCCTAGTGGTGCTTTGCAAGCAGGATTTAGAAGTGAGTTAGAAAAGAGACAGGAAGGTTATAGCAGTTGTCAGTAGAGAGTTATGAGGGCAGGACTGTGGGGGGGGGGAGGCATGACTAACTAAAGCTTTTGCAACGAAATCGAGAACATTCAAGACTCAGTGGATACAGGGAGTGGGAGAAAGGGAGGTGTCAGCTTGCTTTTCTGGCCTCCTAGCCTGATTCAGTGGTGAAAAGCAGCGCCGCCCGCATTTAAAAATAGACCAAGTAGAATGGAGTGTTTGGGGAAACTTCTGTGGCTGGTGCATGGGAAGGGGCGCCCGCAGATATCATTGGATGACATCCATCCTCAATGAACACTTGTTGAATGACTGAGTGAGTCCCTTGCCACCCACCCCTCCCCACTAGGACTCCAGAAGGCAAAGCTCCCTCCTTCAAACAACCTTCCCTTGGCACCCTTGAACCTTTATTAGTCCCAAAGGAAGACTTCTGAGATCCCAGGTGGCAGAGTGTCCTGGAGCAGGGGAACCCACCCTTGCTCTACCCCACCCAGGCATAGTCACCCTGGAGAGGAACAGAGACAGGCTGCATGAGCCTGCTGGCCCTCCAAGGCCCCCTAAGAAGAGACTGCTTCTATTGGGCTTCATCCTCCCTGCCAGTTCAGCTGCCTGTTGATGGCTTCTGCAAGGAAGAGGCTGGAATGTGGCTGACTTGGCATTTCCCAGTCCCACCCGCACAGCTGGTGGGGCCTGGACCCAACTCCAGATGGGGCTCAGTTGGTCTGCTTGGCTTGGCCTGGGCCTCCTGGCCGTTCTGCCTTACCTTCTCGAAAATTGCTTAGGGCAGCAGAACTGGGCCCCAGATCTTGGCCAGAGCAGGTTGTGGTAAATGGGGCTGGCTCCTCAGTTGTGCGTGGCAGCCAAGGCCTGGCAGGGCTGAGGCTGCAGAAACAAAACTGAAAGTGCTGCGGGAGAGAGGGCAGCTTCTGCCACCCCGTACGTGGGAGAAGGCCCAGTGGGGCTATTCAGGGAGGGACCTGGCTCAAGTGAGTTACCCCATCCCTTTTAGGAGTCACTAAAACATCCCAGGGGCTGTGGACCCTGGTGTTGCCCTGAACCACGGTCTTCCCAAATCTGAAATTTGGTATCATTTAGGTGTATTTTCCACACCACAGCCAAAGAAACTTGCGCATTTTGTTAACCCAGTGCCAGTGTCACCCTAAAGCTGCGAGTGTCCGCTGCAGATGTTTTAGAAGGATACTTGCAGAAAATTGAAAAAGCTAGGTTGATCAGTGGGTATAAATGGTGGGGAGTCTATGATGGACGGTCTCTAGCACTAATGACTTGAAAGACTCTGGAGAATCTAGGGAGATCTTTCCACCCCATCCTTATCCAGCCCTTGTCCAGGAAAAATCTCAGAATCTGGTAGGTGAGCAGAGGCAGGATTCTTGACAGATTTCAGTCTTAGCGGGAGCTTGCATAAACTATGGTAGGTACCCTGCTGTCAACCTTGTTGGTGACTTACGTCTATTGTCAAGCCAGAACTTGATTTACAGTTCTAAATCAGATGCCTTTAGTAGTTTTCTTTTCTTTTTTTAAAAATGTTTTTGTTCAAACCCCTCCCAGGTACTGTCTTTTGTTTCCATCTTCCTCCTGAAGAGACCTGCTTACGTATTCTTCTGGAGCCATGGCTGGAATTCCCATTCCTCTAGACCGAGGGTTCTTTACAAAGCCCATGGACTTTGGATGGGCATTGGGGAATCCATGAATCCTCTAAAAATCTGCAGACTTCTCTGTGGGGGGGCATTTTTCTAGAAACAGGCCTATATATATTGTTTAGGTTCGTAGATGGGCCCATGATCCCCACATGGACCCAAAGCTAAGAAGTTCTTGGTATAAAGCACTTGAACTTTGACCTGACCTAAGTGTTGGGTTCCCACGTGTGACACTAACACCACCCAGCCTCACAGGTAGACTGAGGGCTCTGTTGCTTGAGGAGGGGGCCTGGTGGTCAAATGGGTTCAGAAGCAGAGCCTCATGCTAGCCTGGAAGGAAGGGGATGGAGACAGGACCCTCAGGCCCTATAGGGCAGACCATGGGGTCATGGCTTGGCAGGGCCACTGAGGGCCTCTCCTAGCCGCACAGTCAGGGGCCCAGCACGGGATGGGTGGTGTAGGCCAGAGTGGGACATCAGGGCTGCTCAGCAGTCACCCAGGCTGCTCCTGATGGGCGGGAGGAGAGCAGTACCATAGTCTCCCAGGAAGAGGACAGGACAGGAAGCAGGAAGGGCCAGCTGATCACTCTGGCATGGAAGGAAACTCTTAGAGGCTGCGGTTGGGAAGAAGAACCGCTTCTTACTGCAGGACAGCCTGGAGGAAGGTGGGGGGCGGGGGTGGGACTCTATCAATGGGGTTGCTGAAAATTGGACAGGCGGGAGCCCAGGAACACGTGTTGGAGGGAGCGAGCCTTCCCTGGCAGGGCCTCTGGGTGGGATGACCTCATCCCTTCCCGTCTGAGCGACTGAGGCTTTATTATTCCAGCCTCTAGGTAGACATTACGCTATGCCGAGCCTAAAGGTTAAAGGAAGAGCTGCTGTTGCCTTGGGCTCTCATGGCTCCCTGGCAGGAGGGACTGAGGGGGAAGGTCCTGACTGCCTGCTGCTGAGAGGGCATTCCTCAGGGGTCCCACAGTGCCCTCCACAGCCTGAATCCTCCCTGGCACTGGGGAGACCCAGGCAGGTAGGGTGTTCCCATTCCTGCACCCCGAGTATCCTCACAGAGAATTTTCTGCCTGCTCACTGGTGCAGACTGCAGGGGCCATCTTGAGAGTACATATTGCGGGCAGGTAGAGGAAGAATAAAAACTCCACAATGTTGGCAGAAAAAAAAAAATCTTGAGTTTTGTATTGAATAATTTTATACCTGCTTCAAAGACCTCCCGCATCCGGTTTCCATGGCAGCCGGAGCAGAGTCCCCAAGAGTCAAGGGTGGTGGCTGCTCTGCATGGCTTCCTCACACCTCCCCAGGTACTCCCTGGGTTAAGCTCAGTGTCAAGGTGAAGTCCTGCCAGCAGATTGTTAATTGTGATCTCTTGGAATCAGACCAGGATGCTCAAGAGGACCTGCTCAAGGACAAAATCCACCTAAGTAGGAATCAGGAATGGGCATCTACCAGGAATGACGAGCTGCCCCCTCCCACAAAGAAACTGCATTTTCCTTGAACTTTGAGGTCACTTGGGAGGTGTGTGTGTGTGTGTGTGTGTGTGTGTGTGTGTTTGCAGGAGTGATTTTGATTTGCTGGATGATTCACATGAGAGTGATCAGAAATGGTCCCTTCCCTTCTGGAAACCCTGACAAGCCCCAGAGAGGAGAGAGCATCAACAAGTGTCTTGAACACTTTTTCTTACCATCTACAGCTTCAGAGTCACTGGCAGTCCCTGATCCTGTGGTTTGGGATCCCGGTGAACCCTCCATCACATAGTGTTCCAGTGCCCTGAACACTAAGTATTTTGAGTGTAGGGATTTCTCAACTTCAGCCTTATTCCCCTTTCCAAGGGCAAGTTACTCAGGCATCTGAACACAGGACAGCCTACATTAACTCACTGTCAAGCTCTGGAAACGGGACCCAAGGTACTGGTATGTCTCTGTTCTTCTGGTGAGAGACTCCAGCCAACCCCTCTGGAATAGATCCATCATTGGCTTTAAAAATCATAAATATTTGTTTTCACCCTGACTCTTTTTGGGGGAAAAGATGGGGGTATGAATAAATAAACAAAATAGAAGGGTAGACTATTGCATATAGTTACACATAGACACAGGCCTTGTAACTTCACGGTCACCAGAGATATATGGGCTGTGCAAGATGTGGTCATTACTGTGCATTTGGATACTAGGATGTGTCCTGGTCACCCTGTCCTATTCCTCAGCAGAATCACCTGGAAATGCTGGTTAACATGAGGTCTCAGACCTCCTGACCAATCAGAGACTCACCTCAGCAACTGTGGGAGACGCCGGTTTTAGAGTCTCTGTGTTTCTACCCCTTGCCTCCTTGTCTCAATTCCTGTTGTGCTTGCTACTCAGCTGTGATGGACCATGGGAACAGGACACTTGGCATTGAATTGTTGCAGCTTATTTTCATATTTCGGCTCTGCCTCATGGACACAGTGAGCAGCTTGAGGCTAGGGATATACCCCCTCTTTGGGAACCTTCTCAGACCTGGCTTGACACTGGGTGTGGGTGGATACTCAGAGGAACAGTTCTCATAGTTGCATACGTCAGAGCGGGAAAATTTATGTGAGAAGAGCATTTTTTTCTAACAGGAGGAGAACAATTTGTATCCTAGCTGGGTGAATCAATCCAGCCAATTTGTCTTGAACATCCATCTCGTATAAGGAAAATCCTAGCTATAGTAAAGGGTGGAATGGATTCATGTGTTGAGGGGACCTTATTACCTGGGGACTCCTAGGAAAAGAATTGTCCATTCTGGAAACTCAAGCTGGAGAGGATGACTTGATTCTGCCCTAGAAAGAGAAGCCCTGGGAGATCTTTGGTTTGGAGGAGCCATGGCTACCTGATTGTGGCAGCCCATCTGATGCTATCACATAATACCTGAGACTGGGTAATTTATAAAGAAGCAGATTTATTTTGGTCATGGCTCTGGAAGTTCGAGAACATGGTGCTAGCACCTTCTGGGCTTCTAGTGAGGGCCTCATACAACTTCAACTCGTGGGGGAAAGCTTAATGGAAGCAGGCCCATGTTATAAAGCATAGAACAGCCCCCCTCGGGAGAACTAACCCATTCCCACAAGAACTAACCCAGTCCCTTGAGCTCTTAAGGTCCCTCTTCTAGGTTTTAAAGGTCCCTCCTTTATCCCCCAACACAGCTACGTTGGTAACCAATTTCAACCTGCGTTTTGGCGGGGACAAAGCACACTCAAACCACAGCAAGCGCCCTGGCTTCTGGCCATCTTGGAGAAAACTACGGGGGGAGGGGGTTGGTGTTCCTACAAGATCCTGAGTGGTGTTCTCTGGGGTGGGGTGTGTCCAGGTTCTCAGAGCCAGACCCCAGCCATACCCTGGAGGAGCGAGTGGTGCACTGGTACTTCAGTCAGCTGGACAGCAACAGCAGCAATGACATCAACAAGCGGGAGATGAAGCCCTTCAAGCGCTACGTGAAGAAGAAAGCCAAGCCCAAGAAATGCGCCCGGCGTTTCACCGACTACTGTGACCTGAACAAGGACAAGGTCATCTCACTGCCTGAGCTGAAGGGTTGCCTGGGTGTCAGCAAAGAAGGTGAGTGCTCTCCCCTCGGCTCCTAGTCTTCTGGTTCTTGCTGTAGGCAGATAAGGGACCCCAAGGGACCCCAGATACTCATTTATTGAACAAAGATGTTTTATCCTGTGCTTCATGCTAGATGATTGATACTGGGGTGGAATTGACTAATTAGGTCCCTAACCTGACATAGTCTACTGAGGAGACAGATATTAAGTATTCATGTGTATTGTGGTAAGTGCTTTGAGAATGTATTAGATTGGGTCAGGCTGCAGTAACAAGTAGGCACGCCCACATGTCATGTGGTTCACTTAGAAAATGTTTTGTCTTGAGAAGCATAGTTCCAAATTGTGTGTGTGTGTGTGTGTGTGTGTGTGTGTCTCTGTTTGTCTGTCCGTCCGTCCGTGTCTTGTGAAGCATGGTTCCGAGTTGTGGGGTGTGTGTGTGTGTGTGTGTGTGTGTGTATGTGTGTGTTGGGGGGTGGTGGTAGGAGGAGGGATTAGAGTGGGGATTGCTTCATGTAATCACTCTAGAGTCCAGGCTGAGAGTGACTCTTGGGGTCACTTTGGTATCCATCTTTATCATGTAGCTTCCAAGGTCACCCTGGAGGTCACCTCTATTCCCAGTCAACCAGATATAGTAAACATGGAGCAGTGCATGTGATAGTTTCATGGGATAGTCCTGGAAATGACATATACATTACTTTTCATATTTCATTTGCTGGAACTCAGTCCATTAGACCATACCAACTGTAGGGAGTGGAGACAAGAGGCAAGGTAGTTTGGAAAGTTCGTTCATCCACATGAAAGATGCTATAAGGGTAGTGGGAAGATGTTTGTTTTAGTCAGCTTTTTCACTGCTGTGAAAAACTGACAAGAACAACTTTAGAGTAGGAAAAATTTATTTGGTGGCTCCTGGTTTCAGAGGTCTCAGTCCATAGAAGGCTGACTCCATTCCTCAGGGCTTGAGATGAGGCTCAACATTATGGTAGAAGAGTATGGTAGAGGGAAGCAGCTCACATGATAAGGAGGCAGAGAGAGACTCTACTCACCAGATATAAAATCTATAACCCAAAGCCATGCCCCCAGGGACCCACCTCCTCCAGCCACACCCTACCCACCTTCAGCCACCACCCAGTTAATCCCATCAGAGGGTCAATCCACTGAGAGTATTAGGACTCTCATAACCCATCATTTCTCCTTTAAACCTTCTTGCATTGTCTYACACATGAGCTTTTTGTCTCACATCTAAACCACAGCACTGTGGAAGAGGTTCAGTCAGAGAAATTATAGAATCAGTTTTGCTTTAAAATTTTATTCTGGCTGCACTGTGGGAAATGGATTGGAGATGAGAAAGGCAGGGTCACCCAAGAGGAGGTGTGGCATGGTCTGGGCAAGAAGTGATGGAGAACCTCGTTATGAAAAACACAGGGGGCGGGTGAAGAGAAGTGGGTGGACTGATGACTGAGTGGACACAAGGCCAACAATCGGTGTGGGCACCTACAGGGTGGGACTGCTCACTGAGATAGGCAACAGGGAAGGCAGAGAAAGTGGGTGTAGGAGGAGGGTATGGTTTGGACAGATCCTGTTGGATGCGCCTAAGGCCTGAGTGGGTCTATAGAGCAGGAGAAAGGTCTGCACTGAAGATAGATCTGGGTGATACAGACTTTTGGGAAATGGAAAAGCTGAGATTACTTAGGGAAAGTTTAGCATAAGAAGACAAAAGAGCTGCTTCTTGTTCCTCGGTTGTCAATGTAAACCCCAAAAGTGGCCTGGGTTACCACAGGAAGCCCAGTCTTGGGACCTGCTCCTCCATAGCTGGGCTCTGGCTCTGGTTCTGAGGCCGACTGGCCTGTGACATCCTCCCTCTGGGCACATTCTATCTGATGAAGATGGCTCTCTGGTTTCCACCGTACTCCAATTTTCCATGTCACAATACAACATGAGAGTTTCCAATCCTGCCTTTGCCATGGACCAGTTCTTTTATCAAATGTATATGAATCCACCATTTTGCATTTTGGTTTCTTCATCTGTAAAATGGGAATAATGATAATATCTACCTCTTAGGGCTGTTGTGCTCATTAAATGGGACAAAGTGAGAGCATGTATCATAGGGCCCAAGACATTGAAGGAACAGAATAAAAGRTCAATATTAATATTCCTCTTCGTAAGATTCTTGCCTCTGCCAATAGTACTTAACACGCTGGGTTGCAATTTACTTTTATGATTCCTTCCTTGTGGCTATGGACTCTTGTCCTTTCTGTTCCTGACCTCTAGCCTATGACACCTAGTAGCAGTTCCTTAAATCCTTGTCAAATGAATGGATGGATGGAGAGGGGTTGCTCCTTGTGACATTTTCATGCTCAGACATCTTTAGGATCTGCTCATTTCACAGAGCACAGGCAGAAGTCCAGTGCTGGAAAGACCCCGTCCAGCACTAGTGGTACCCCAGGTCGACCCATGAGCACCTCCAGGTTGACTGATTCTGTTCTTGGTGTCCTTCTCTTGCTGGGAGTTCTTTTCTGTGCAACCAGAGAAGAAGCCAAGGGAAGGCCTGATGTGGTGCCCAGAGCTCAGGGGACCCTCAGAAGGTTGTCTAGGCACCAGACGTCTCCCAGTCCCTGTTGATGCCTAGCACCTGAAGGAACATTCGGGGAAGACTCTGGGCCAGAACACAGTATTTAGGGGAGTGCTGGTCCGATTCAGTCAGGGATGGGTTTTAATTTCAAGTCATCTTCACAACTTTGCCCACAGAGGCCTTTAGGGTGCTTTGGGTTGCAGCTGTCATGGCTCAATGTATCTTTCTGCTTCCTCAATTCACTAGGGAGACAGGAGGAGGGATGACTGTTTAGGCCTAGGAGAGGAGTGGAGGTCTGGCTCTTAATCCCAGCTCTGCCACTTAACTAGCTCTGTAATCTCTGGCAAGTCAACTAAACTCTCTAAGCCTCAGTTTCCTCATGTGCAAAATGGAGACAGTAGTATCCTCCTTATGGATTTGGTGTGAGGATATAACAAGTTAATGCGTGTGAGGAACAGCACGGCACCTGGAACATGGTGAACACACAAAAGAGATTAGTAGTACTAGAGGAGCCCACCTAGGGGCAGCAGCCAGCTTCTCCTGTCCCGCTGCTCTTGTGGGTGGCAGAAAAGCCACTTGGGTCCATAGTTTGTAGCCATCCTAGGGAATGGAGCCCCTGCCCCTGTCATATGGTGTCATGTGGTGCCCTCTGGTGGGCCGAAAGGGGCTTGCATGCTAGGAGTGGGTACAAGAGGGGTAGGGAGCAGATGCTGGGCTTGGGGGYGGTATACTTTGGGGTCTGAGGGACCTTTGGAAATGTCCCCTGAACATGGCTATTTTCACCAACCAGATCTCTCATTATAGAGCTGAATTCTCTGCCCAGCATGAAGAAGCCAGACATTCTGAGGGCTGGGCCTCTGTCTTGGCCTTTTCCAAATGATGGAACATTTTCACCAGGATTATTGTCACCATTCTGTGACCAAGGAGAAGGAAAACTAGTGCTTCCATGTTCCAGTAATGTCAACTCTTTCTTTAAATTGTCTGAGGTTGTCACCTGCCCCTGGGCTCAGCCTTTCCCCTCCCCTGCCCTGCCTGGTGGGCCGGAGCATGGTGCCAGAGGCTGAGATCCAGGTCTGAGTTTGCTTTTCTTACCTGAAACCTGTGCCATCCTGGGTAGTTACTTGGCAACCCAGGTCTCAGTTTTATCATCAGAAAGTGGGGATAATTTTATCTCTATCATTTAAAGTTGCTCTGAGGATCCAATGGCACATTTCTGACTGTACGTTGTGTGTCTTGAGTCTCAGCTCCGTTGGTGCAGGACTGCTGTTGGCCTCCTCTCTGTGTGTGGATCTTGCTGTTCACCACCGAGAGGAGCAGTCGCTGGAGCAGAGGAAGGACGGGATCTAAGGCCAGGCAGCCTGGCTCTCCCCCTCCCAGCCGTCTGCCTTGGGCCTGTCCCTGTATATTTCTGTTGATGTCCTCTCCTACTAAATTGGATATGCCAGTGTGTACATGGTGCCCACCCCTTTACCCTGTGCTTTGTCTCTTTCTCAGGTCTTGAGGAATGTTGGGGACATCGAGCTCTGGGGTCACATGACCCACAGCTGGGCTTAGATTCTACAGCACTGTACATTGCCCCAAACACTTTCTCCCCTAAGAATTCAGTCAACCCTGAGGGCAATCCTGTGAAGGAGGCCGGACAGAAACAGCACATCTGTGGTCCTAATTTCCATTCTCTGGGAAGATCCAGAGGCATTCGGGGGCGTGCGTAGGGCCACTCAGCATGGCTCAGCACCTCGTGTGTTTCCCCAGCTCCCTGCTTCTCCTTGGGGAGACCAGGGTCCTGCAGGAGTAGGCACAGCCTGTCTCCAGAGCTGCTTGGCACCTAGGGGGAAGAGTGCATGTGAGCAGAACAGGCCTTGGACTCATATAAACCACTCAACCACTCTGAGCTTCTGCCTCCGGATGTGTCAAGGGAAAGACCAGGATTCCTTCTGTCTCTGACATTCCGTGATTTGGAAAGTAAGATCAAGGAGGTTATGACACAAAAACATTCACTAACACAAAAACCCTTCTGGGCTAATAGCTGAGGAGGCTCCAAAGGGGGCCCCTCAGGGCCTTGGCCTTAGGGAAAAAGTGACTTTGGTTAAAGGTGCTGACCAGCAATGGGTTCACCTAGGCAGCATGTGACCATAGGCTTCCACAGAACAGGAAGTGCAGCCAGACAATATCTGGCTGTATCCCAAGTTCATCCTTCATTTGGGGTCATAGAGGGCAAGGACCCAGTATAGAAGTTGACCCAATYCTCTGGGTCAAGGCCACTCCAGTGTCCTGTGTTCCTATTTGTTGCAGGTAGCCTTGACAGCTTCCCCCAGGGGAAACCAGCAGGCTCAAACCCATTCAGTAAGTCTCCTTCTTTCTGAGCTTTCTACTTTCTCTGTGGATCCCCTGAGGAAGCATTGATGGCACAGCAGGGGTGACACCACTGGCCCAGTGACTTGGGCTTCCTTCTCAAAATTTTTGCTGAGGACATGAGAGAAAGATGGTTAGTGCTGGGGCTGGGGATGTGGCTCAAGCGGTAGCACGCTCATCTGGCATGCGTGCGGCCCAGGTTCGATCCTCAGCACCACATACAAAAACAAAGATGTTGTGTCTGCCAAAAACGAAAAATAAATAAATAAATAAATAAATAAATAAATAAATATTAAAATTCTTAAAAAAAAAAAAAAGATGGTCAGTGGTAAGAGGATAAATCATGTGCCATCTCCTCCCCAGCCCCAGGCTGACAGGCTGGCCTCTGGGGGTGGTATGATGCGTGCAGAGAGCACCCCCAGCCTTTGCTCCCCAGGCAAAGCCAAGGTCTCTGGAGTGCTGGACCCATTCTAGGTGACCTGGGCCGCCTCAGAGTGGCAAAGGATGGGTTGTCAAACTGCTTATCTGCAAGTCTAAGCCACCTGTGTCACCCACAGCCCATCTCCAACAGCGGGTGGAAGSAGCTACCCTTGTGGGGGAAATTGATAGACGTAGCTGAATTTCTCAGACATCCCACTCTAACTTTTTAATTTTTCTCCCCCTCTTCTGTTTTGCACTCTCCTTTCCCCATCCCAGTAGGACGCCTTGTCTAAGGAGCAGAAAATCCAAGGGCGGTGGAAAGTCCAAGGAGGCCAGATGGACCACCAGACACCTAACTAACCTTCAGCGCGGCCCRTGGCCAGCAACATCCCGTGTAACATAAGTGGTGCCCACCATGTTTGCACTTTTAATAACTCTTCTTTGCGTGTTTTGTTTCTGGTTTCATCTGTAAACAACCAATATCTAATACCAAGTGGGAAGAGGAAAGGGAAGAAAGACTTGATTCTCTCTCTCTCATCGTAAGTTTTTGGATCTGCTACTGACAACTTTTAGGTTACTGGGGGGAGGGGTGTTGTTGGGACTGAGAAGAAAGAGATTTATATACTGTATATAAATATATATGTAAATTGTATAGTTCTTTTGTACAGGTGTTGGCATTGCTGTTGATTCCTTCCCCTCCTTCTCCCAGTCGTGGGTGCTCTGGACTTTCAGTCCACCTATCTAGAACCTAGGACTTTGTCTTCTTCCAACCCAGATTCCATGGAGGCCGGCCCTTGTGTGTCCGTGGACAAGAGCTCTGCACTTGCTTTGCAAATGCCACTGGCTCTCATCAGGTGGGAGGAATGTACTGCCCCATGCCATTAGCTGCCAAACTTGGCAAGTCACCGGGCCCTTGGCCTCCTCAAGGGAGGCTGAGTTGGAGAGACAGGCATCGCCCCTGGAGAGGAGGGAAGTCCAGTTCTCACATGGCCCAAGTGTTCCTGCTAACCAGATCCCCAGGGAGCCCAGGATCAATGGGCACCCTGGTATCTTAGTGATTCACTGAGCAAATTATCCTCTGAGGATTTGCATTAGGTCAGTTTAAACATTCTATATGGATTTAGCACCTACTCCATGTAGTGCATGAGGAGGGAGGTGAAGAAGAAAAGGATGTACCGCTGGGCCTTTTATTTAGTATGTTTGATACCTGAGAAACCCAGGGAAGAAGACAGAAAGCCTGCCGTGCAATGGGGTGCCCACTCTCCTGCCACGCGCAGATGAGGCTCCCGAGCGAGCGTGGCTCTCATCCTTGAGGTCACTTTGGGTTTTTACCTCCTCTCTCCTCCCACTGTGGTCCTCAGTGATTATCACAAGCTCCCAGGCCTATAAGTCATTTCCAGAAGTAAAGCAGATCTTGGGTGTTCAACTTCTGTCTTGCCCAGAAGGGCAGGAGCAATGACCAGTTATGGGAATCCAGGTATACCTTTCCAGAATGCTACCAGGATTCCAGATGGGCTGCCCAGCCCTTGGGGCAGATGCGCAGCTTCCTCTGCCCAGTTGATGTGCCCTCAGAGCTGCAAGTGATACTTGGCACCTCTTCCCATGGACAAATGTGGTGACAGTGAGGGCTGTCACGTACCGTAGCCCAGGACTGTTGCCCTCATCCAATTGCTCTTGGCCATCTGGCCTCATTTTGTATTTCATCCTGGGTGGATCTGTCTTGTATTCCATTCCATAAGTGCACCTGTCTTGGCAAACTATTTTCCATTTTGGGTACGGAAGGCATTGGCCCCAAAAGCACTCCCTAGTGGGGGAGTGTGGCCTCTTGGGACTGGATCTGATGGGGTCTCAGGCTAGAGAAAGTTCTTGCTGTACTGAAGAAAGTCATAGAGGTTGTCTCAAGGACAGCCAGTGGCCCTGTCCTGACCTGGCAAAGTGAAACAGAAGCCCTCTCCTACAACCTCGACCAGAAAACAGCATGCTGGAGCTGGATGGACCTTGCAGGAGACCCCAGCCTCATTTGCTGGCTGGAGGAAGCATGCACACACGGAGAAGGCGCCTCCTTGTAGGAATGCAGACTCTTCCCAGCCACCTTCTCTCTCACATTTGTGCACAGGCCGTGTTGCGTGGTTTTCCTTTGTGAGGGAGGGAGGGTGGGAGGGAAACTATTTGTAGCTTGTTTTATAAAAAATAAAAATGGGTAAACCTCACAGCTGTTATCTCTTTCTTTGGGTGGCTCCCTGTGATGGAAAGGTTTTCTAGGGGGTTTCCTCATTTTTCCTGGCCTGAGTGCTCTCACTCTGACCCCAGGAACTCTGATTACTGGCCTAGGTGGTGTGTGCATGTGTGCAGATACCCTGTCCACTTGGCCTTTGCCTACACTGTGTGCATCCTCTGTGATTCTCCCCCTTACCTCTCTACCCATGCAACTGGTCCACGGGACCTTCTACCCTCATCCTGATCTCTTGCCCGTAGGCCAGCACTGGACTAGTGGGAATGTTGCTGCCGAGTTTTGGAGGCAGAACTGGGGACAAGCCTATTCCATGGCTTCTGGCTGCAGGGAATGGGTGCTGTGGCCCTGATCCAGATCACCAGACCCTAGGCTGGGATACAGGTGTGAAGTAGACCTCAGTGAGGTTTGTACGGTCCATGTCACAGTGGGTCACATCCATGCTGAGGCTGCTGGTCTGGTTGCTGAACAAGATGGGCTTTGACAGCTGGCCTGGATGTTTTCCTGTGTGGCTGGCATCTTCTCCTTTTGCTCTCTCCATGCACCCAGAAATGACCTCTGCCACCACCCACTTGAGATCCTTCTCTAAATCCCTTTTGCCACACTCTGGGCCCTTGTCCTCAGTGAGCAAACAGAAGATAATTTCCCTTGTAAAACCCTTCTTCAACCTTTTCTCAAGCTGAGTGTCCCTGGGAAAGAGTCTAAGTGCTAGAATGTGGTCACATGGGCCCCTCCTCATACAGCACTTTCCCTTCCCCATCCCAGTCCCTCTGCGGCTTCAGAAAAGGACAGCTGATTTGCTGCATGCTTATCACATGCCAGACACTGTCCCAGACCTGTCATGTTATACCACAGCCTAGATTCAGACATCGTTGTTCCCATACCCAAGTGTGGATTCAGGATCAGGAGTTTACTGACTTGCTGGGGACTCCCAGCCAGGACAGGCAGAACAGGAGTCACCATTAGATTTCAGACTCTGGGCCTGCAGCTCTGCCCATTCCTTGGCTGCCTTCCTTGAGGCTCCAGAACAGCATTCTTCTCCCTGCATGCAGCTTAGGGACTGAATCAACAGGGTGCACATTTTTTACTCTGAGCCATTAAAGGTCCTGTTTAAAAGTCACTACTTTGCAGAGACCTATCACAGTCTTCAGGGACTGTGAAGAGAAATAAGGAAGGCACTGGCCTCTGTAGGATCTCCTTGGAAGATTTGGGGTTGACCCAGGAGATAGACTCAGCCTAGCATGGGAAGGGGGCAGGCCTGAGCTCACCTGTAACTGCCTCATTCTGTCATCCTTTGCTTTCTCCAAGACCTTAGGACCAAGAGCCAGGGAGAAGTGCAAGATAGATCTGTTCTATTTATTTCTAACCATGAGGCTCCAGCCACATGCTGACTCTGTAGGGAAGACCCTGGGGATCTTCAGTGGAGAAGCAGAGAAGTGACTGCTGCTAGAACCAGCCATCTTTTCAGGACCCCTGTGGTACTGACAGGGAGGGGGCCCCAGGTCAGTTCCCAAAGGGATCCAAGACAGGTGGGAAGCTGCTGGCCCCATCCTACAAAAATGAAAAGAGATAGCTAGGCTGGCCATCTGCCGTTTATACCCAAGTTCCTGAATGACCTGCAAGACTACAGGTTTGCTCACCAAGGAGGCCAAAGACCATCCAGGCACCCTGACGTTCTGGAATGTGGCATTTGGCTTTTTCCTACCAGACAGCTGGAGACAGGTGTTATGGTTTAGAGATGAGGTGTTCCCCCAAAGCTCACGTGTGAAACAATGAAAGAAAGTTTAGAGGTGAAATGATTGTGTTCTGAGAGCCTTAACCCAGTCAGTGCATTAATCCCCTGAAAGGGATTAGCTGGGTGATAACTTAAGGCAGGTAGGGTGTGGCTGCAAGAGGTGGGTCCCTGAGGGCATGCCTTTGGGGTTTATGTTTTGTGCTTACTGAGCAGAGCTCTCTGTGCTTCCTGATCATCATGTCCTGAGCTGCTTTCCTTCACCACACTCTTCCGCCATGATGTTCTGCCTCACCTCGAGCCCCAAGGAATGGAACCAGCCTTTTATGGACTGAGACCTTTGAAACCACGAACTTTTCCTCCTCTAATTGTTCTTGTCAGGTCTGTTAGTCACAGTGGTGGAAAAGCTGACTACAACAATAGGCAAAATTTGATCTGTTCATGCAGTGCCTCCAAACCAATCCTAGATCACTACTATCCTTTGTGCAACTTACAAGAATTGAAAAGAAGGGCCATGATCTTTGTCACATGCCCGCCAATTTCTATTATGCCTGAACTAGGTGTGTGGCCACTTATCTCCTTGTTTTTCCTTGTCAAATGTGGGCAGAGAATTCGGGCCAATTCCTTCTATTATTTCAGGTCACCCCTAACCTGATACAGCCTCAGTGCCCCCTTTCTTGCTCGGTACCACCCCTTTCCCTTAATAGGGTGCATTCTATAAAACCCCTTTTGCCTGTGTCCTCCTAGCCAAAATTTTGATGATTGATGATCTTGTATGTGACAGACCAGGTCTGTCTGCAAAAACAAGGTCACCCTAATAATCTACATGCTTGATGGTAGAGGGGCACGGCATACCTGGGTGTGATTTCTCTGCAATTGTCAGACTGCTCACAAAAATCAGTCAGGAGAGACCAGGATAAGCTGCAGTAACACACACCCCTCTCAGTCACTGTGGCTTAAGACAAAGGTGCAACATATCCATATGTATCAGCTGGGGTACTTCTCTTCATTGTCCTCACTCAGGGATCCAGGCCAAAGTAGGCTCATCCTCCATGATTGTGGAAGCAGAGGAAAAGGAACATGTTGACTTGTGCCCTGGTTCCCATCTGGAAGTGCCATGTGTCATGTCGCTCACATTTCAATGACTAAAGCAAATCACATGGCTCCAATTACCTCCATATCAGTTGACAAGTGTCCAGAAATAGAATCAGAAATAGTTAGTGAACAACTCTGGCAATTATTCCAGCACAGATTATCTTTTGTGTTTTCTTTTCTATCTTGATTCAAAATGTGAAATTTTTACCCCATCTAAGAACAAAGACTTTCTTGTCTCAGTTTGCATGGTGCGTTTTATAGGCATGACTTCTGACAGGTCTAACACATTTATAATATTGACCATAAATTCACTTTTGTGAGATTTCAGTCCCCCACTGGAAAACGCCTCTCAGCTAACAGAGATCCTGCAGGACTGCCATCCTCATAGTGTGGGCAACTTAAGAGAAAGAAGGGGAGGCCCAGGTAACTCTGGGGGAAAGTAGTTGGTTGAAGATGTCAGTGCCTTGAAGCATTCCTCAGCGGTGCCTGCTGAGGTATCCTTCCACTGTGTACCAGATCCTTTAATGACCAACCTGGACCATTCTCATAATTTCCTGGTCACTTCAGTTACCTACAGATTCAGTTCCATTCAATTACAAATCTTCAATCTCCAAATTGATTTAGATCCTCCTTCCCTCCCCTCCCTGGTACAATCTTGTGTTGGCTCCCTGCTGGGAGAAGAGCAGTTGGTTCTGAGTCATTTCCTCCACTTTATCATGACTCCACCTCTCTGAGGTGATGGGGTTAGGAGGAGGGCAGAACATGAGGGTCTCTTAACAGTTGTAGCCCTCTCCCTTCACTGTGGCTTTGCTTTCCCACCCGGTGGCAGGTGCCCACGTGCTGGCCTTCCTGTGGGGCACACGTCAAGTCCTAGGGTGGTGACTCTCCACTGCACAGGACCTTGACATGGGCAGTCCAGCCTGGCTTGATCTCTTCCATATTTCCCCACATCGATATATCTCACATCCACTTTGTTCTAGGGATTCTGACTTTGTTTTTTTGTTTTGTTGTTATTTGATTTTGTTTTTGTGGGGCTAAGGCTCAAACTCAGGGACTCACATGTGTTGGGCAAATACTCTACCACTGAGCTACAATGCCTGACTCTGCCTTTGGTTTTTGTACCAAAGATATAGCTCTGCCTGGCTCCCTCTGGAGTGTGTGTTCACCTGTGGGAGACTCACACATCCCAGCCAAGCCCAATGGTGGGAGTGCAGGCTAGTCCTCAGCTGCCCCTCTCCTGGCTCTGTATCTCTCTCTTCTTCTCTCCTCCTTAATCCCTAGAAGTGATTTATTCAGAGCCTCCCCATTTTTCTTTTATTTTTGGTGGTGGGGGGTGGCATGGGGGTGGGGAGAAGCAGCCTAGCATTTCTTGGCTCTCTCCTTCCTTCTTTTTCCAACTTTTAATTACAGATGGGGATGAGTGGCTAGTTGCAGAGATAATTCAATATTATCTTAGGGTCGGGTGTCAGTCCCCAAATGGTTCTCTAGGATACAGGATGCTTCGTATCTTTATATTCTTAGTTTGGGGTTCTAATCGCCAACTCCAGGAAACAGAAAAGTGTTGTTATGGTGGGTTTAATGTTAGATACAAGAAAAAATTGATCCCAGAGAGACGCCCTGCCCCATCATGGAGGATGAAGAAGGCCCCTGTGTTTTGAGCCCTCAGAATCCCAGCAGCTCTGTGGGAAATGCAGGCTTCTGCCATCTCAGAACTCTTTTCGGCTTGCCCTAGACAGCTCTGTCCTTGGAGGGCCCAGACTCCCATCTATTCCTGGGCCAGGCAGGACCCCTGGAAACCCACTCATCCCTACTCCCCACATAGGCCTCTGTAGGATGCAAACACATCTTCTAAATTCCCCATTTCCATTATGATATAACCCCTCGCAATGCTGGTACAATGGAAGAAATTGAATCTTTTTCAGGGGAGGATTTTTGGAGAGGTGACATGGAGCTCACATAGAGACCTCAGTCTTTCTACTGCTCCCATCCTCCCCACAGCCCAGTGTTTAGCCATTCTTTTCTACAGCATACCTCTTCCCTGCTCTGGACAAAAACTCTGATTTTTGGAGGCTTATTCTTAAGA